ATCCCAGTAGCTCACACAGTAGAATTTTTGGTTACAAGATTCCACAGAGGGAGCACTGGTGACAATGAACTGTCATAAACATGTGAGAGCATAGTAAATAATCAAGTAATAATTAATTAACATAGTAATACATCTATAACACAATTCTGATCAAAATGGTCTTTGTTTTGAACAATAAAATTTAAAACAGGGTACCAAAAATTATAATAATCAAGAGAGGCAGAGGAAGGGCCTTTATTGGAGGTTTGTATCAATATCCTTTCCATTGTGAGATAATCCCATCTATTCCTGTACGCAAGGGTGTAGACTTTCCAATTTCCCGGGGGGGGGGGCCTGGGGCTGGGCCAGAGGCATTGCTTTGCTAGGAGCAAGGGTGGCTCCCGGGGGAGGCTGAGCACCTTCCTGAAAATTTCGGCGGGGGCTGATGCCCCACTGCCCCCACGAAGATTACGCCTATGCCTGGGGGTGAGGGAGATCCCTTGTACTCTTAAATGCTTTATGTGTCTTCCTGGTATGTATGTAACAGATCATGCTCTTCTTGGGTGGAATACTTAACACAGAGTATCTACTACCTTCATTCTGTACTCACAGTCATAACATGTACTACAAATTCTCATGTCATCCATGAGTGTACACTGAAAGAGGTGAATTGGACAGGATCCAATCCATCCTTCTGATACTCTTTAATCATATTTATTGTATTACAGAGCTTCTAGGGTATCATTAAATAGTAAATGGCTTGTGGGTATAAGTGTACAAGACCACACCCTTAAGGCCATCTTCCTTGCCCATTGGATGATTTTCATTTGAATATTACACAAATGCAGAGGAACTTTGCATATCCTGCTCCCTTTGCACTAGGTAGAATATGTGAAGCCATTCTCAAGGACATGTTCTGATTTTACCCATCTAACAGCTGATTAGATCAGTTCAAGACAGATAATGCAATGTAACGTATAGTTTTCTGTGCCATCTTCAGCAGTTGATTTGGTGCTTGCTGGAATATAATTGTTTGATATTTCAGCATCTAGTCTACTTTGTGTTATGGAGGTGTTACATTGTCCCATTTGCCAGTTCCCCACTGTAATGTATCCAGTCCAGACAAGTCCAGAGACAAACATCGAGCTTTGCTCTAAGAAACAATGGACTATGCGGATCCTAGGCCACTCCAATCAGGGGGCTAGGTTCCCGGCCGAGAGCCTATGGGACTCTCAGCCACTGTAAATAACCTATAGGGAAGTAGGGGTGTGTTTTGGGTGGTGGTTTCTCGGGGGATATAAGCCGACCTGCGAGCCGGCCAAAGTTGTCTTGTTCTGGATAGAATAAAGTACGCTTTGCTGAAATCACTCTCCGTTTGCATACTTTTCACCCACCCTGTTTTTTGATTATAAAGTTTTGTAACTGTTGGTTGGTGATCACAATCTGCTTAATTAGTAGAGAGCTATCTGGGTAAACTTGCTTCTCAAGGACTTCTAAGGTGTGGAAGCAGGTGTGAAGAAGGAAAGGCAATCACATCTCAATGGGGTTTGAAATAAAACAAACTTACTTTAAATTCCAGGGGGGTAGCTGTGCTAGTTTGCTGTGGCCAAAATGACAATCTTATGGTATCTTAAAGACTAACAGATTTGTTGTGGTAGAAGCTTAACTATGTTGTAGGTATGCTTTTTGTTCACTGAAGTTATATGTTTTCCCCTTTGATTACTTGGCAGATTGAACACAGGATGCTGAGTAAGCCCTACCCAATGTCTTGTTTGTTTAATTAGATTTTTGACTGCCCTTCCCTGCTTGCACAGGGCTCAGGGCAGTTCATAATGATTTGGTTCAATACAGTGTAAAATAAAACCATAAAAACCCAATATTTAAAACATTCAAAACATTTAAATGTTTTAAAAACAAGATGGCAGTGCTAGCATTCAGTAATGGGGGGGGGGGTGCCAGGCAGATGTAAGGAACTGTTACTGGACTCAACCAAAGGCCTGGTGGAACATCTCTGCCTTACATGCCCTGCAAAACTTTAATAGATCAGACAGGGCACAGATGTCACTCGGCAGAGAGTTTCACCAGGCTGGGGCCAGGGCGGAGAAGGCCCTGGCCAAGGCCAGCCAGTTTTCTTTTGGGCCAGGGACCACCAGAAGGTTCTTATCCACTTATCTTAATGCCTTTCGGTGGTAGGGCTGCCAAGTGGGGGCGGGTAAACCCCCGCTTTGGAGGTCTGATTTCCGCTGACGCGGAATCGGGCCCCGGGGGGAACCCCACCCCCTCATGCACGTCACCAGGAAGTGACATGGGCACGCTGGGGGTGGGGCCACGGCCATACAAGGGAAAACTCTATGGTTTTCCCTTATATGGCCGTGGCCCCGCCCCCAGCGTGCCTGGCGTCCTCCCGTCACTTCCGAGTGATGTGCGTACGGCGCGCGCACACACAAGACACCAGCCGGGAGCCCCCCCCCCCGCTCCCGGCGAAGATGCACTTGGCAACGTAATTAGGGGGACATACTGGGAGAGGCGGTCCCGAAGGTACATACATCCCTGACTGGAAAGAATTTTGAAGGTAAGCACCAAAACCTTGAATCTGATCCGGTGCTCCACTGGCAACCAGTGCAGTTCATGCAGCACTGGATGTATATGTGCCCTCCATTGGGTCCCCATAAGGACCCATGCTGCCGCATTTTGTACCAGTTGGAGCTTCCAACTCAGTTTCAAGGGTAGCCCTACATAAAGTGAATTACAGTAATTCAGCCTGGAGGTGCCCATTGCATGGATTACTGTGACAAGGTCAGGGCGAAACAGATAGGAGGCTAGTTGTCTGACTTGACACAATTGGAAAAATGCCTGCCGGACAACATTGGCTATCTGGGTCTCCATTATATTAATTGATTGATTTGATTTATATATCGCCCTCCCCAGACAGGCTCAGGGTGGTGTAAGGTAAAGGTAAAGGTTCCCTTGCTCGAAAGCCAGTCGAATCCGACTCTAGGGTTGCGGTGCTCATCTCCGTTTCAAAGCCGAAGAGCCAGCGCTGTCCGAAGACATTTCCATGGTCATGTGGCCGGCATGACTAAACACCAAGGTGCACGGAACGCTGTTACCTTCCCACCGAAGTGGTACCTATTTATCTACTTGCAATTTCTTGCTTTCGAACTGCTAGGTTGGCAGGAGCTGGAACTAGAGACAGGAGCTCACCCCGTCTTGCGGCACCCGGGTCTTGAACTGCTGAACTACCGACCTTCCACAGCCTGCAGTTCAGCGTCTTAACCACTTGAGCCACCGCAGCTCCGAGGAGAGTGGTGTACAACAATTAAAATAATACAATTAAAACAATTTTAAAATAACAATTTGCACAGAATAGTATCATAAAATACCATGTAAAAGCGGAGAGATCAGATGTTAGATCAAATCCAGTGCCTAAGATTCAAGCCACTGGTGGGTGATTGGCCAGAAGCTGGGAGGGGGATGTCCACTGCCTCAACCAAATGCCCAATGGAAGAGCTCCATCTTGCAGGCCCTGCAGAACTGCAATAAGTCATGCAGAGCCCTGATCTCATAGGGGAGCTCATTCCACCAGGTTGGGGCTAATCGGTCGAGGCTAATCAGACGTCCCTGGGGTCAGGGACCACCAAGAGATGTTGCTTTGTAGACCTCAGTGCCCTTTGGGGCTCATATGGGGAGAGGCAATCTCATAGGTATGCTGGCCCCCGGCCATATAGGGCTTTAAAGGTAAGCAACAGCACCTTGGGTCTGGAATTCAATAGGCAGCCAGTGCAGTTCACACAGCACCGGGTGGATAAAGCCCACACAGGCGTCGCCATCAACACCCATGCTGCCGCATTCTGCACTAGCTGCAACTTCCCGAGCAGAGTCAAGGGCAGCCCCACGTAGAGAGTGTTACAGTAATCCAGTCAGGAAGTGACCATTGCATGGGTCACTGTAGCTAGGTCTCGGGGAGTGAGATATGGGGCTAACTGCCTGATCTGTCTCAGATAGAAAAAGGTAGACCTGGGTCTCCATGGAGAGGGAGGCATCAAGGAACACCCCCAAACTCTTCACCTAATAATATCAGCAGCGCCGACCCACCGCGATCCAGATGCCTATGAAGGTCATCTGTGAGGGTGACCAATGCTGTCTCTGTCCCATGGCCAGAGCAGAAACCAGACGGGAATGGATCCATCACAGTTGTTTCATCCAGGAAACTCTGGAGCTGCTCAGCAACCACTCTTTCAATTACCTTACCTAGAAACAAAAGATTCGAGACTGGGTGGTAATTGGCTGCATTGGTAGGATTCAGAGTTCGCTTTTTCAAGAGCAGAACAACCACAACCTCTTTCAATTCCTCTGGGTAGATCCCTGAATCCAGAGACAGTAACAATTGTCTACAATGGGGCCCCATATATCTTCACTGCCGGCCTTCACCAGCCACGAAGGACATGGGTATAGGAGGCATGTGGTTGGCCTAATAGCACCCGGAATCCTGTCGACAATGTCATAGTAGGATCAACCCTAAGGAGGACTCACACTTGCTTGGGAGAGGTGTTCTGTCTCAGATATCAGTCAGTTGTTAACGAAGAGGCCACAGCTATCAGTTATATGGTTTATTTTTAAACGAGATGGGATATATACTTTCCACCTCAAGCAGTCAGATGCCTTGTGTCAACTCTATTCCATCTTTTTTTAGGTTAACATGAAATTCAGATAATAATAGGAGTCTATGCAAATTGCTCTGCAAGTAAGGAAGGTATAGAATCCAATCTAGTGAGGTTTCACAGAGAACACAGATGTTTTGAAGCTCCACAAACATCTGTCCTAAACAGATAACCCATGTGGAAAAGGAATTTAAAAAGGGTTGACTCCTGTTCAGTTATGTCCCTGTTGTAAACAGACTGTCCAAGTATTCCGCCAAGGCCTGTATGTGACACAACATTCATAATGTTTTCCATCTGTGACCAGGAATGGGGCCCCTTACCCCGCCCATCTTTTTCTTTCAGTTATTTCTTGCAGCTAAACTCTCACCATGCTTTTTCTGTCTGTTCTTCATGTATTAGGGGGCAGTGCCTAGGCTCTTGTTTTCTTCCCATAGGTTCACTCATTGTTCTGGAATCCTGATATGAGGCAAGGGGACGGTTTCGACATAGAGAAGAGGCAGCTTTACGTTGCACATCAGCAAACATGACAGCAATGACGGCCACCATCCTTATTCTGACCACTGTTTCTCTTCTATCTACAGGTAAGGAGGGTACTGAGGGAGAGAAAAGCTGGCCCATAATGCTGAATAGATTATGCAACCTATTAATTGTGCTATTTATTAAGAAGAGAACATAAGCAAGCATATCCACTCTCCCCTCAGCAATGCTCCACCACTCCATGAACCTTCTGACTGCTTTCTAATGTTTAAAACAATGCTACATTAACTAGTTCGAGGTTATCCCTTCCTCAGCATTGAAACTCTCATTTTACTTTGTTGTGCTTTGCCACATCCCTGCCCCAGAAAGTTTATAAACTACATTTCCAAGTATTCAGGAGAAAAATAGAGGGAGACAATGCCAAATTAGCAAGAGACAGAGGGAAGGAATGAAAGAATCAAGAGTCCCAGTGGCGGGATAGGAGCAAAGGTTGTTACATGTACTTGGACCAGTACTTCAGCTGAGAGCAAAGACAAGAAGGCTTGTGTTAAAGGCTTTACAGAAAAGGTGAATTTTGATCTGAAGACAAACACAGATGGCACCAGAGGAGTGTCCAGTGAGGGATACTGATTTCTCAAGGAGTTATGATTCAGACACAGTCAATGTTTAATGAGAATTTGCAGTAGCTTGCTACATGTGTTCGGGAGACACATTTGCTGATCATCTGGAAAGTCCTGTTTTTTCCCTTCTCTGCTCATCTACCAGCTACTTGAAGTTTCTTCACCAGCTTACACTAAGTGCTGTCCTCTGTTCTTGCAGGGAAGAAATTCCGATGGTGCACCCTTTCTGACCTGGAGCAGAGGAAGTGTGCAGAGCTTTCCAAAGTGCTTCTGAATGTGTTGCCTCCTGCCACAATCAGTTCCTTTGGCAGAGTTTCCTGCATCAGAGCTCATAACACCCACGACTGCATTGAAAAGATAAGGGTAATTTCTTGGAAAATGTTAAAGAGTTTATCCCCTTCACAAAGCCTAACCTTTCGTAGAGCATACATTTCAGCAGGGAAATTATTCTTTGGGGGAATTCAAGTATTATGATTGCTAAAGTGATCTGCTTGTGTTAAAGGCTTTAAAGAAAAGGTGAATTTTGATTTGAAGAGTACGCTTGTGGTTAGCTAGCTAGGAGAAAACTGTTAGGCTTAGACATACAGGAAAAGAAGAAGAGACATGGGTGTAACAGCATATATGGGGATGGAGAGAGAAGACAAGATAGAGGGAAAGGTTCAGCAGCTTACTTATGCAACTTGTAACTTGTGCAGCTGTAGTAGAACATGCTGCAATGCAACAAATTTTAACCCATGTATTTGCTACACGCTACTGAACATGCCTATAAAGAAGGACAGTACAAAGGGGAAGTTGACCAGTCCAGTTGCTTGATTACAGGGGACTGTTCCTTTTATTGCAATAAAATTCTACACGGCATTGCCTTGGACCGAGACTTGCCTCCCACCTCATTTTTGGGTTTAGGGCAAGGTGTCTTTGTGGGTCTTTTACCCATCAACACCTTTGTAGATGGATTACTGCTACAGTAGGCCTACCAGGCCAATCGTTCAAACTCTGTCCTCCTTGCACATTCTACTACGTATTTTCCCCACACCAAGATGAGGTCCTCCTTTCAGAAGCTGTGTGAGGTAGCTACATCAGGCAGCAGTTTTTGGTCCTCATTAACGTGGCAAAGAGGGGATGAATCCTAGCCACAGGGCACAAGCCACCGGAAAGTGTTCTTGCACAGCTTCCATTGAATTAAACCAGGAGCTGTACAATAATGTTGTATTTTTCTTTTTTGTTTGCAAAGAAAGAATTGCCTGCTTCCTTAAAACAAGCTTAAAGTAGCCGTGCCCTCAGGTTAAAATATTAGTTTGAAAAGAAAAATGTACTTGAAGGCAAGAGCAGGGTACTGTGTATTTGTCCAGCTGTTTTTAAAACAGAAGTTGCCATGTAGAACACTAAGGCTGTAATCCTAAAAAGCACTTTCCTGTGAATAAGCCCCATTGAATAAAATGGGACTTATTTTTTTTGTTTACATTATTTATAATCTGCCTTTCTCACTGGGGTTCAAGGTGGATTACACAAAGTGACTCAATACAATCAACAGGATGGGACAGTCAGTAAACAATTAAATAGGATTTGGGTTGTAGAACCAAACAGAAATCCAAAAAACACAACTGAAGTAAAGCATAAGTGTTAACATGGCACATTAAATTATGAAAAATTACATAGTAGGATCCAATTTACAGCAAACTATACACAGTAGTATAGACCACAGCCCCTAATAATTCAAATAACTTTGTGAATCATTTTGTACAGTGCTACCCTGTTGCCTGTGTAGAAAAAGCACTCTTGAATAATTCCGTTTTGCAGCATGTGGAAAGCCAGGAGAACGGTACCCTTCCTGACCTTCTCAGGCAAACCCATGCAGGATTGTTCTCTAAAAGTGTATCATTAGGCTTTTCTCCCAGGATCCTCTTTAATAACTAAAATTAAAAAGGTGTGACTAAATATTCATAATTACATTGAGATCGCAGTAAGTCCCTTTACATATTACATGTTTCACAGTTAATATTCAGAGGGCCCATAAACTGCCCAATTAAAAGGTGGCGACTCAGTGATCCTTTTCAAATGGCCTTGTATTCTGTTTTAGTAACTGGTTGCAAATGTTTTTTTCCCACCCTGTCATTTCAGACAGACCTGTTTTAGTAACTGGCTGCTAGCAGAATTTATTTACCTGTTCATACAAACCCGCTTGCATTGGGTTAGCAAATTGTGGTTGAGCCACTTTAGAGGAAAACTGCTTTTTCCCATTTTCAACCCCTCATTGTGCTTCTGAATCACTGTGGTGTGCTGTTTAAAATGTCCACAGCACTTCCTACAATGCCGCTTTTTCCCCATCCTTCTTTGCCACGCGATCTTCCTCTGACTTTTAAAAAATGTTCTAAGGTGAGCATTATAGTGCTAAACCTCTATAGCACTTCAGTGTTATAGCGGCACCATTGAGATGCACTGATTCCATTGACACATCTCAATGGGGCTGCTATAGCACAGAAGTGCTATAGAGATTTAGCGCTATATTGCTCATCTTAGAACTTTTTTAAAAAGTCCAAGAAAGATCGCACAGGGAAGAAGTAGTACTGTTTGAAATGACCATGGCAGTTCAGAGACAGCTCATTAATGGAAGGACATTTGCTATATGAAATCCCTGCCCCTGTATCGCTTTACTCGAAATTGGGCCAACAACTAATAACATCCAATTTAGAACTGTAATGTGAAAAGGGCCAATGTCTCCTCCTGTGGAGTACTTGGAAGCCTTGTAGCTTTGAAAAGTAGCACAGGCCTGTGCTGCTGTTGAATGTCTTGGTTTTATGTTTGTATGTGATCTATTTCATATGTTTTATTTTTATGTGTTTTATTAATATTGTAAGCTTCCTTGGTCCATAAGGAAGAAACGCAGCTAATAAATATTTTTAATTAATTAAATAAAATAAATAGATTTCTTATGCTTTATTGCATAGGAAGAAGGCTGCTTTTTTCAAGCTATTTACAATGTTGATTTTAGTTATGATGGACAAACTAAAGCAGAAATAGCAGCAGCAGCCAACACATTGGAATTAATGCCAGGGTATGGATGAATGCAAACAGTAAACATTCAAACATTATTTGAATAACTGTGTGTACAAAATAACTGTTACAGGAGGATGTGGTTCTGTTTTGGGGAAGACAAACATTACTGCAAACAGTTTCACACTTCATACACAACAGATTATAGCCCATAAAGTGCTAATACATGTTAGTCAGGCCTCCCTCCTAACCTCATTAAAATCTGCTGTGATCAGAAGTAGAATGTTAGCCAGGAATTTCAGACATTGATCAGGAGAGCCTGTCAAGCTAGAACAACTTGACTTGAAGATATGCTAGTACTGTTTTAAATAGCTTTCTTCTTTCCCCCATTTTTTTAAAAATAAGGTGAATAAAGCAGATGCTGCCTCTTTGGATGCTGGAGATGTTTATTCTGCTGTAAAGCTTTATGGCCTGACTGTGGTGGCAAAGGAAGTCTATGTGGAAGGTCAGTTATCATTATCACATGGGTGCTGTCAGCATAATACATCTTTTCAGGACAATGGATACATAAAGAATCCACTGACATAATGTAGTTTGGTGTCCAACTATTTGTCCCAGAGGCAGTATAAGCTTTATCCTGTCTTACCAGATACAGCAGATCCTTAGAGGGAGTAGCTCTTTCAGTTTTGAGCTTCCATTTGAGAGCTCTGATCCAAGTTTGGGGATTTCAGGCTGAATTTGGCCCGCAATGTGACTCACGACATACATTTGGAGACTCCAGAAATCGATCGTGAAATTTTCAGCAGTGGGTTATCCAAATCTTCATTAACTGTTTCAATCCAAACTGGAGCTGCATATAATAGTTGAGCAGTAATGTTAGCCTTAAAAGCTGTGAGGGCAGCACTCTTAATGCTATGAAGTTCTGAAGTACAATAACACCAGCATACATTGAGGGAAGATTGTTATGTAATATGCCTTTGCTTCTATCACCATGAACCTCTTATGGATAAAAGGAAATACTTCTTCACCCAAAGAGTGATTGACACATGGAATTCAGTGCCACAGGAGGTGGTGGCAGCTACAAGCATGGACGGAATTGGATAAGAGGGAATACAAGAGGGAACTGGATAAACATATGGAGCAGAGGTCTATCAGTGGCTATTAGCCACAAGGTATAGATAGGAACTCTTGGTTTGGGCAAGTGATGCTCTGTATTCTTGGTGCCGGGGGGGGGGGACAGTGAGAGGGCTTCTAGTGTCCTGGCCCCACTGGTGGACCTCCTGATGGCACCTGGTATTTTGGGCCACTGTGTGATAGTATGTTGGACTGGATGGGCCATTGGCCTGATCCAACATTGGTTCTTATGTTCTTATGTTAACCTCCTCACTCTGAAATGTTATCCTTAAGATGAAAGTTTGTAGAGGAACAGTTAGCATTAAAGAAGACGTTTACAGCAGATCTTATTCCCAGGAAAAGCCAATGACAGAGTGAAATACTAGGCTTCCTATATGGCTGAGCCTCGAGTCACTGTAGTTCCCCAGGCAAATTATTTAATCTCAGTGTTGCTATTATGATTCCTGCTACAGAGGAATCAAATGAATATCTGTTGAATAAAGAAGTATTTTGCTTTCTTTATACCTTTGGTATAAAAATATTAAGAAAGTTTTGAATCATAATAATATGTTCATCAGTGTAGCACTCTCCCCTCAGTTCTCTTTTTGCCGCCACAAAGTGAGGATGTGTATCAGCGAGCTGAACTGGGGCCTGAGGAGATTTTTCTGTCACTTGCCTCAGGTCTGTCTTCTCTATGGCTCTCTTCAAGAAATGTAAGGACTGTGGTGCTAAAATCCCACTGACCTACGAGCTTTGAGGCGCGCCACTCTGCCTCCCAGGGCCCTTGGGGTTAAGGCCTTACAAGCCTTACACAATGCCGTGTTATGGCTTTCTCCCAAACAAAGAATACAGGAAGAATGGTCATCCGATTGTGCCACTGATTTCAGTAAGGAGGCATCTGTGGGAAAAGTGGTGTTGCAGTCAATCTTCCATTGAGACATCCCACGCCCTCCTCCTCAGTAAGTACGCTTGCTAATCTCCAATGTGGGACTGCACAGAAGCCACGCTGATGAAAACGGAGGTTGCACTTACCTGTAACCGTTCTTCATTGAGTGGTCTTCTGTGCAGGCACACATCCCTCCCTCCTTCCCCGCTGTGGGTGTCTCTACGCCCTTGTGGTGGCTGGAGGAGGACTGAGGGGAGAGTGCTAGCTCCTCCCATACCACGTGACTTTTGGGCGGGAAGTGCCACTGTTGCTATGGGAAGACTAGCACTCTTGGGGAATTAAGAGACGTTTTAGAGCTCGCTAGCTCCTCCTGGTGGTTGGCCTGCATAAGCACAGTCCCATGTGTGCCTGCACAGAAGACCACTCGATGAACAATGGTTACAGGTAAGTGCAACCTCCGTTTTTTTCTTTGCCTTCTCAACCTGTTCTATTCACACAGAGAAGCTCTTACCAGTATTTATTATGGCAGTTCCTGCATCTCCACTTGTCACATCTCTAGGTACCTGCATGTTTGCTGTAGCTGTTGCCAGACGAGGAGAACTGAATATCCAAAAGCTAAAAGGTACCCGTAGTTGCCACAATGGAGCCAGGTGGACTTCAGGTTGGAATATCCCTTTTGGCTTTCTTCTAGCTAAAAAGTACCTGATGTGGGATGAAAATCAGCCCCTAACCCATGGTAAGTGAGCAGTGAGAGATCCGATATCCCCAGGATCATGGTTTTGCCTATTGAAACTCAAGGAAAAGAGAAACATGCATAGCATCCAGGTACCACATTAAAAGCTCCTTGTCCTAATGGGTACAATCCAGCCCCAGTGAAGCATTTTTAAATTCTACAGGCTTGAGCAAGGAAGATTGAAGTAAATACCATTAGAAACAACAAGACACAAAAGTCCTTAACTTTTATGAGATCATGCCCATTATCTTTTATTATATTTGGCAGAAACAAGGCGGTCTCTCTCATAAACATACATATTTTACTGTAAGAATCTGTTATTGATATGACAGTCCTACAAATTTATAACTCCACACATGAGGCAGGCATTTTTAAAGAGTTCAGATAAGTGTGTTGCTAAGTAGTTCAAGAATTTCAGAAATAAACAGGAGTTGTAGCACCTTGGCGGTTTTACGGTCTATGAAACTACACTGAGACTCCGCACCCATTCCAGGTGTTAACTAGTTTAGCATAACTAGTCAACAGTCTCTACATTTTTCTTGATTCCCATCTGAATTTTGTATAATTACATTTCATTCTGTATTTCTGGCATTTCATGGTCTGTTTACCCTGTTTGTTTTTTTCATGCCACATAAAATGACAGTGGGAAGGAGCCCAATCTCATTAGCTCTCAGAAGTTAAGCAGGGTTGGTACTTGGAAAGGAGAACACCAAGGAAGACTCTGCAGAGGCAGGCAATGACAAACCAACTTTGCTTCTCACTTGCCTTGAAGGTCCCTTGCTGGGGTTGCCATATGCCTGTTGCAACTTGATAGCACTTTACACACAGAAAGAAAATGACAACATAGTGCTCATGGGTAAAAGTGCCCATACTAAGAGTTAATCATTAATATAAGTGTATCTGTTTGCATGTCTGGCTTAAGACCTCGGGTCAATGAAGCTAATAAATGAAAAATGGAAATGGAATTAATATGTGTATATCACTCGTGGTGTTTATTAGCATTTTATCTTGCTTTATTACACTGTGTCCTTTTGTATTTGTTTATCCTCTTATTTCTTCAGCGATCAGTGGTTATTTCAATGCCAGCTGCATCCCCGGCATCGGAATTACCACCCCTCAGCTATGCATTCTTTGCCAAGGTCAGAAGTCTTACATCCGGGAGAAGAACCACTTTTGTGAGTCCAGTGGTGATGAGCCCTTCTATGCTTCAGAGGGAGCCTTCAGGTGGCCTTGAACTTGCTCTTGCACTGCAATTTGATGATAATAGAGGGGAAGAAGAGATGCTCTTTATGCTAATACTTTTTAAATCTGTGTGCAGATGTTTGAAGAGTGGGATAGCAGATGTTGCTTTCCTGGATCACCTAACAATGAGGAATGCGACAGGTAAACTGAAAAGCCCACTGTCAGTGACTTTTTCATAGTGAACAAATATGGGTAGTCCATTCCTGATAAGATAGTGAAGCAGTCCCCTAAGTATTAGATCAGCAAATTTGGTCCAATGCTCCCTCTAAGCTGTGGCATCTTGTGAGCAAAAATTCTACCTTGTTAGCTACCGGCATTAAAGTTGTGAGCGAGCGATTTGGCTACTGCATAAATTAGTTTGCTCTGGAGCCATCCTTCCTGAGCTAAGACAAAAATGTGTGAGCTGGAGGCTAAAAAAATGTGAGCTAGCTCATATTAACTCAGCTTAGAGAGAACACTGGTTTTGGCTGTCCTACCCACAAAGATACCTGAAAACAATTGAGCTGTGACCTGCAAGTCAAGGTGGGTAAAGAAGCCTTTGCTTAGCAATATCCTCACTTCTTTCTTGAGGAGCTGAAAAAGGTAGAGTGGTGCCCCTTCCCAATGCCCAGAACAAACAGGCAAGTTGCCTATCTTAGCAGACTGCTGAACATCATTCCTCAGTGGTCTTCTGTTGGTGGCAATATGAGCAACAGCAATGGAAAAACCTTATTTATTTATTTATTATTCATATTTATATCCCACCCATCCCGCAAATGAACTCAGGGCAGGTAACATAATTAAATAAATACAATTTAAAACACAATGTAAGCAATTACAATTTAAAATAGTATATAAACATTAAAACGATAGGTACAGTTTAAAACAAAACATCAGCTGGTTATAAAAATTCTGGCCTGATGGTGCAGTACTATTAAGGCCAGTTGTCAATGGTCAATAGGTGAACGGGTGACAGCAACCTTAGGGAGGCCATATGTGGGTGCCCATTGCCTCAACCAGTCTTTTCTGTTGTGGCCTATTTGCTAAGCCAGTGACTCTCACTCCAGTTTCTCTGAGTGCCAGTATTTTCTTTCTATTTTCTAAGAGTCAGAACAAGAATATGAACTTCTGTGTCCTGATGGGTCCACAGCATCTTTGAATGCCTATGCCACCTGCAACTTGGGCCATGGGCCAGGACATGCCATTGTTACTCGCTATAATTTCCAGAAGATCACCAAGAAATTTCTTACTTTGATCCAGGTACTTTTTGAGCAGTACATTGAGTGTCTGCAAACACTGACACACAGGAATGAGCAGAATTCTTGGGTTCGTACCTAAGTCTGAATTCCCATAATGCACAGATAAGGCCTCAGTCACACGGGCAGGAAAATGCGGGGGAGGGGGAGGTGTGGCTGTTTGCCCCGGAGCAAACTAACGCGCAACTGCACGATCAGGCGTTGGGTTGAGGTCCCGTCGAGCTCCCGTGGTTAGGGGGGAGGTGCCGATCACACGACGCGGCAAAAAAGCGGAGCAGTGCGGCAAACGGGGTTGTGGGGTTTTTTAAAAACTGAAATGTGCGCATGCTCCGTTGGGTGCTTGTGCGCATCCGTGGAGACTTGGGAAAAAACCCACCTTTTTACGGAAAGAGTTCTAATCTCTGAGTCCAGTGGCGCCTTTAAGACCAACAAAGTTTTATTCACAGTATAAGCTTTCATGTGCAAGCATACTTCCTCGGTGTGCTTGCACACGAAAGCTTATACCATGAATAAAACTTTGTGGTCTTAAAGGTGCCACTGGACTCAAACTTTGTTCTACTGCATCAGACCAACATGACTACTCCACCTGAATCTATTCTAATTTCTTTACTGATCTAGTAGTTATATGTGTGTGTAAAGTGTAATATTTTTTTCACTGAGATAGCAAAGTGGGCTAGTCTAGGAATAGTTTAGTCTTTGTTCAGATGTAGGCCTAAATGTATCTGCTATAAGAAAATTGGCATCCAATGCGAATGATTGTCCTGTTCCTTAGATTCTTTGGCTTTGCAAGATTAGCTGAGCATTTTCCCTGTGTTATTAGTATTTGCATGTTTTATAGAGGTTTACTAGGTTTTAGAAAAAAGGAACAGCAAAACTTGTTCTCTGAAGGTACAGTGAATTAGCACACCTTCTAGGATTCCATAATCCATCCGTGTTCTCCTTCCTTTGTCACTTCCATTGCATACATTTCATTGTTGCTGCAGTCAAACCTACTTCCAGTCAACTTCTTTGCCTCTTAAGGAAATGCTGTCTCTACTTCTTTGTGTAACTAATATGCTCTTGCCATGAGCTAAATGTTTACGAAAGAGGTGCTGAAGTAACAGGTGTTAATAAGAAAAAATGTAGTTCTCAGTATTGCAAGAAAGTGAGTCATGGCACATAATTTTTAAAAGACGTCTTCAAGCTAATTAAGGATTGTTAGGAGTAAGACTTTAAAAACAGGGACCTGTATGATGCTGCACAATATAAAAAAAGAGGAGGCAGAGAAAGCCAAGTGACTTGCATCACTTCCACACACAGCCCATGACCTCCCACTTCTCCACTGGTGGAGGATACTATGTGGGTTGCTACTCCCTTCTGCTTCAGCTGTCACGGCTTGTTATTCCAACTGCACTGCTGTATATACACTGCTGTAGGTATAAGCCTCTCCAGGTTGTCATCCTGCCTGCTCTGTCACTGTGGAGCACTCAGCATCAGAACTCCCACTCTTTTTCTCTGAGTTGGGCCTTGTCTAGTATGGATACGATGTGGAGGATTTGGGTAAGGAGAGAATTATAACATTGCAACCATCTCCAAAATGCTCTAGGATATGTCACCTGGCAAACCAAGTCACTGTTAATATGACTTATAAATTATTTTATTTACTTCATTTTTAGTCTGCCTTTCTCACTAAGACTCAAGGCAAATTACATAACTAAAAGAACAATGGAAAAATTAAAGTACAGTCATTACAAGTGTATTATAAAATAGTACATAGAATAAATATAATAAAGCTGAATCACAAAATTAGAAAACAATGTAAAATTAAACCTACAGAAAGCAACACAGTGGTAATATGGCAATCTAATATTTAAAATAGATACTAAAATAGATGTTTCTCTGCAATCATATGTCCTTAGGCATAGGACAGACAAACACTGAGGCTATGGTATAACCACCACCCAAAATGTAAAAATCTTTAAGGAATTAATTACTAAAAATATGTGGATAATATGGTTATCCAGTGCCGCACTTGCTTGTTAATTATAGTAATTATAAGGAAATTGGTGATAACATCTGTACTAGTTCACTCTCCTAATTCAATTCAGATAGGCAGTTTCCCTCAGTCTAGCAGAACTCAACTGTGAATCTACCTCTGACACCTTCATTACAGATTGGGGGTTCTCTTCACCCCAAGTACTATTTTTTGACTTAAAGTATTTGGTAAAGATTTATTTTGAGGGGAAAAGGCACTCTCTGTGGTGAGCTGCCATTCTGATTACTCATGGTAATTCCCTAAAAGCCAAGGGTAAACTTGGCACACAAAAAAGGATATGCCTTCCACTTGTCATCAGGTATGGCAGGTTTCCTCAGAAGAGGAAATTATTTTAATGCCACACGTAACCGAAACCTAAGAGGTCCCACTAGCATTGGTATTATCTTTGAAGAGGCTGAGCTGGAAAGGGAGGAGAGTTAAATGGCAGGTGAGGAGCCAGATGTGGAGACATTTCTCCCAGACCAAGGGGGCTTCCTCTTCTAATCCTGGAATGCCGAGTCATTTCAGCCAGCTTCTCCTTTCAAGGCTAGAAAGTGTCACCCCCTCCCCCGCCTCTGACACATGCAGGCACATTTTGAGAAAGCATTCCAACTTTACATGAGGCAACTGCTATTCTGACAGGGGCATGATGCATCTCTCCCATTGAGGACAGATGTCCCCTGTGTCAGAGGTCATTTCGGGGGGGAACGCGGGGGATCGCAGTTCCCCCGGGTGAGGTGCAGGGGGGCGGGGCACACAACAAAGCCCCGCCCCTTCTTCTGGCAGCCCCCTGCTTCCAGCCTCATTCTGTTGCAGAAGGAGGAAGAAGCAGGAGGGTAAGGTGGCGTCCTCCCCCTCTGCCTGGCCGAGGCCACTCCACGTGGCCTCCGCAAGGACTCCCAGTCCCATCCAGGAGCTTCCCCGAGGTAGCTGTGTTAGTCTGTTGCTGCAAAATAGTCCAAGAGTTCAAATAGCACCTTTAACCTTTAAGACTAAGACTAACTGAGTGGTGGGTGTGGCCTTAAGACACACTTCTGATGATGTCAGGGGGTGTGGCATATGCTAATGAGTTATGCTAATGAGTCCCCCTTGCTCTTTTTCTACGAAACGACCCCTGCCCTGTGTTATCAGGGAGGCTTATTGTTTCCCTATTTTGGGGATGAATTCTTACACCTGAATTTTTTTGGTGCGATACTGTGGAGTCTCGATGCCTTCCTCATCTAGGCACTTTTAACAACAACAACAACAACAACAAAACACTCCAGAAATGTATGCAGACTCCATACTTACCCCTAGAGGTTGATTCTGTAGCAGCATCACATTCCAACAGTGGTTCCTTAACATTTATGATTTTTCTAGCCAACTTTGTTACAACTTTGGAAGTAAAAGACTTCCAGTGATCATCTCAAATACTCAAACACAGTGTATTGTTTCTGAGGGTAGCTGTGGTGTTCTGCAATAGAACAGCTACATTTGAGTTCCGTACCACCTTAGAGACCAACAAGGATTTTGAGGTATACGTTTTCAAGAGTCAATATTCCTTTTGTCAGATATCTGATGAAGGGAGCATTGACTCTTAAAATCTTATACCTCAAAAACCTTGTTGGTCTCTAAGGTGCTAGTGGACTTGAAGCTAACAATGTATTGTTTCGCTGTTGTAGATTTTCCGGGTTGTATGGTCGTGGTCTTGGCATTGCCAAGAAAATCTACAACAGCTAATGAACTCTGGCCGTGAAAGCCTTCGACAACATAATCTCCCTGTATGAACCCTAAGGCTATTGTCCCTATTGAAAAAAGGTTCCTGGAGAGCAACAGCTTGGGCAGTAAGCTGAACTGCCTGAGCTAGGTTGCCTAGTTTTCAGCTACTAAATCATCTATCCCTTATGTACATGTAGGCCCATAGCTCACTGATAAACACCTGCTTTGCCTGCAAGTACAACGCCTGCTTAAAGGATCAGGTACCAAGTGATGTGAAAGATCTCTGCCTAAGGGCCCTGGGAAGCTGCTGCCAGCATAATACTAATTTAGATGCAATTTAGTAGGGCAGGTTCATGTGTATGTGAATGTATGGCTAAATTTCCCCATCTACTGGCAAGGCAAAATAGTTGTCCAAAAGGGCCAGGAGCAGAATCCAAGTCGAAGTTGCTGAAGCAGTAGTGGAAATGTCCATCAAGATAGCTTGAGGCAGGATGCAAAGAGCAGATCAGAAAAAGTTGTTGTACCAGGAGTTTGCAGGTGGCGACTGCATGTTTTTCTATCCAGCTTTGTAGTCTTCCAGTATAGTATTGAGGGAAGGGAGGGCTTATACTGCCACATTTGTGATCTGCCATCTGATATGCTGCTGTTTCTGTTCTTGGGGTTCTGTGGGTACTTGCAGAGGTCCTGACCTGTGGGTAGTGAGCCTTCTAGGCAGAGGGCAATGCCCACCCCCATCCCACAGATTACAAAGATAGGTCTCAGCAAGATTGCTGGCTCAGGGACTTCTACAGACAATGCTTGGCTCCACATGTATGGGGGAGGGGGACTGGCAGTGATATTCTAATTTTCTCCGAGGAAGTGACCAAGGATGTCTCTCCAGCTCTGGAAGCCACTGGGCACTAACAGTCTTTCCCTTCATGGCACTACAAATCTGAATACGCAGCAGCCAGCTCCTCTCATTTCAGTTCATGCCTCTGCTAAGCAGTGTTAAGTTGTAGCCAGTAAATCTGTTTATTGTCTTTAGAACCTATTTGGAAAGAAGGGAAAGGAAAAGGCCAGGTTTGAGCTGTTCACTTCTGCACCGTTCAGTGGAAAGAACCTGCTATTCCATGATGCAACTCAGTACTTGCAGGTAGTTGAAGAGGAGGCTGAACTCAGTCATGTCCTTGGCTTGGATTATGTTGCTCTCCTGCAGGCTTTGGGACATGAAGGTGAGTGTTCTCTCTTTCCCAAGGAGCTGTGGGAAAGGGAATGGAGAAGAACCTCAAAGAGCAGAGCTCAATAAATGGATGACACAATTTGTTCTTCCTTCTTTCCACTACTTCAGGGAGTTCCCTATCCAACAGTCTGGTGCGCTGGTGCTGTATTAGCAGTGCTGAGCTCCAGAAGTGTGAGGAGTGGGCTCTGAATGTCAAGTCGGACCCTCTGGTGTGTGTCCAAGCAGACTCTATGATCAACTGTATTGAACTGATCAAGGTGACCACGTATGATCTATAAAGTGGAATTGTGGGTCTGTATTACATTACCTGGCTAGCCCAGGCTAACCTGATCTTGTCAGATCTCAGAAGCTAACCAGGGTCAGTCCTGGCTAGTATTTGGATGGGAGACCTCCAAGGAATACCAGGGTTGTGACATGGAGGCAGAAAATGGCTAACCGCTTCTGAACATCTCTTGCCTTGTATACCCAATGGGGTCGCCATAAGTCAGCAGTGACTTGGGAGCAAGAAAAATTATATTATTACATTTTTTCAGATAACTGAAGGAGACAATAGAGCCAGCGATTGGGCACTGGTTAATCTTTCTGTGATCTCTGGTCAAACAGGTAGTGTATGTTTTTGTAGTGCTTCTAAAATCAGCCAGATCTGTTTGAACAGAGGCTGTAGTGAAACAGAAAAACTAATCTGTCTGTACACTGCAGGTGTTGTCTCTCATCATACAGGTATCTGAAAAGCTTTCACGGAGGAACAAGGTTTGATTATTAAGTACTTATGCAGGACATTTAACATACAAAAGAACTTCACACTTTTCATTTTATCCCTCTATCCAGGCACATTCTGAATTGTATGGATATTATTCCCATTTTGTAGATGAGTCAGTTGCCTAATGGTTGAGATAGAATTTAAACTCTGATCCCTGTCATCAAAGGTCAAGATGATGTCTATGGAGCCACTTGATTCTCAGCATTAATGCATCTATATCTAATGTTTTTGAGGGATTTTGCAGAGTAGTAGTGCAACTGAACAAGATAGTGGGGGATCTGTGATAATAACTCCTGAAATTATTTTTTTTCTTATCAGCAGCCAAGCTGTAGCCCCCTCTCCATTAGATTGGGTCATGGAATGGGCAGGGGAAGTTAACTCTTTCCTCCTACACTATACTATTTTCCTGATTTAAATGGCTCCGCCCCCAAATAGTTACTTGCCTCACAGGGGAAAATATACAGATAGTCATATTGTAGTTGTATGTATGTTTGTTTATATATATATATTTATTTGTTTATTTATATGCTGTGGTGGTGATTTTGTCACTTGACACAGTTACTAGACAAAAATAATATTTTTTTTCCAAAATCTCAATAAACAAATTTAGCCATATTACGTTGATTTCTAACAGCACTCAGCCTAAAAAATTGCACACAAAACAGCAGTTTGAAAAATATCAGCATAATCAGCCAGAGAAAAAGAATCAACCATAATTAAAGCCTCAAAGGAGACAATAAAATCAATAATTAAAATGCCTGACAGAATAAGGGTGTCTTGGCCTGGTACTGGGACTTAGCCAAACTTGGCACTACGCAAACGGTGTTCCACAAACAGTGTGGCACAAACAAAAAGGCATTTTCCTTGTGGCAAACTGCCTTATCAGCAAAGATGAAGGGATGTGAACCAGGACTTGAAACAATGTGCATAGCTCTTGGGCTGCTTCATAGAGCAACCAGAGGTCCTTAAGGCATCTTGGTCACAGGCTTTTTACAGTACCATCCTAAGTGGAGTTATACCTTTCTAATCTCATTAATTTCAATGGACTTAGAATGGTGTCCCTTGAATTGGGCCTGAAAACAGTAGGCATTGTTTATCTGATTTACTTAAAATTGCTTTCTGCCACAGCATCCAAGGTGGTTAGAATTCAGAACTGTTTATACTATAATGCACATGATGATGCAAAAGGAAAAGAGGATATGAAGGGAAGAAGCAAGCAAGCAAATTCATGTATAAACTGAGAGAATTTATGAAATGATTTTGTAATGACAAGATGGAGTAACTGCTTCGGAAGACAGGTCCCTGTGGAAAGGTTGGTTCCAGGCCAGCTGATGGAGGCAGTGCATTCTTGATTCTGGCAAAAACTCAAGTACTCCTAGGAAAACTTCACTTTCTTAAGGAGACAGTCTGCAACCCCCTAAGCAGGCCTTTGTTGTCTTGCAGAACAATGTGGCAGATACTGTTACTCTGGATGCCACACACGCCTATTTTGCCAAGAAATATGCACTAGTTCCTGTTGCTGCAGTGTTATGGTGCGCTTGCTACTCTGATTCATGCAACCTGCTAAACAGGCCTTTGTTGTGTTGCAGAACAATGTGGCAGATGCTGTTACACTGGATGCCACACACACCTATTTTGCCAAGAAGTGTGGGCTAGTTCCTGTTGTTGCAGAGTGCTATGGTGAGTTTGCTACTCTGATTCATGCAGTTTGTGGAAATGGGGAGCTTAGTGCCATTCTCAAAACTACCCTTGGTAAAACTGCTGCCAGCGTTCATACCACAGCTGGACTTCAGAGAAGACTGTCTTCTCTCATGCCTCAGTCTGTGTTCAGAAGACCATTGCCATCTAAAATTTCTGTGTAGCAGCCAGTGGACTAAGGTTTTGTAGGTCTCTACAAAAAGCCAAGAATACAGCTGTGAAAGGCATGCAAAATACTTAACCCTGTTCATGGCATTGGGGTGTGTGTGTGTTTGCCTTCCTGCTGAGTTCTCTAAAAGGCTTGAGACACGTAAGGACTAAATGGCATAAAGCTTATACCCTGAAAATCTTTTGGCATGAGCCAGCTGATGTATCACTAGGTTGTGCTACACTCAGTAGTACATTATGAACTGTATTTGAGGTGGTATTATAGTAGTTTTTTTCTGTGCTGTTACGTATGTAGATTGATAAATCATTAATGTAAGTCATCACTTTAAGTTGCTAGTCATTGAATGACAAAGCTTGAATAAGCAGCTCATAGTGCCTGTCACTGTAGCTGTCTTCTTGGACTTGTTGCTGCAAATACCTAGAGACCACAAGGACTTCGTAATTTGCCAGAGCGGTAGTAGCTGAAGTCTCCTTTCTGTGCTTGCCCACCTGGAATGTTCAACATGGGGAATTCCCAGCAGTACCATTAGATTCTGGCTTCTAAAGCAAGTGGATATGGAACTTCCCCATAAAAGCTGGTATTACCATGTTTATTTATTTATTATTTTATTTATTAGTTGCATTTGTATCCTGCCCTCCCCACGAAAAGATCATTCTTGTGGATGACCTGATGCAATTAGTCTACCTTGCCACACCATCTTTGTTCAGTGGATTAATGGTGAGGTATAGAGGGAATGCTTATTAAATTTGCAGATGATACTATGTTGGGGGGTGTAGCAAATATGGTAGAAGACAGTGTTAGGATACAGGATGGAAAACTGGGCTAAAACAAAAAAAATGAATTTCAGTGGGGATAAATGTAAAGTTATGCATTTAGGTAGAAAAAATCAAATGCATAATTATACGATGGGGAGACTTGTCTTGGCAGCAGTATATACAAAAAGGATCTAGGGGTCCTAGTAGGCCATACACAGAACATGAGTCAGCAGTGTGATGAGGTAGCTAAAAGGCAAAGGGCTGTATCAACAGAAGTATAGTGTCCAGATCATGCAAAGTGATGGTGTTGCTTTACTCTGCTCTGGTCAGACCTCATTTAGAGTATTGTGTTCAGTTTTGGGCACCATTAATTTAAGAAGGATATAGACAAGCTGGAACATGTCCAGAGGATGGCAACGAAGATGGTGAAGGGGTCTAGAGACCAAGTCCTATGAGGAAAGGTTGAAGGAACTGGTGATATAACCATCTTCAAGTACCTGAAGGGCTGTCATATAGAGGATGGTACAGAGTTGTTTTCTGTTACCCCAGAAGATCAGACCAGAACCAATGAGTTTAAATTAAATCAGAGGAGAATCAGAGGAGAATATGAAGAATTTCCTGAGAGTTCGCGTGGTTCCTCAGTGGAACAGGCTTCCTTGGGAGGCAGTGGGCTCTCCTTCTTTGGAGGTTTTCAAACAGAGGCTAGATGGCCATCTTTCAGCAGTGCTGATTCTGTGAACTTAGGCAGATCATGAGAGGGAGGGCAGGAAGGGCTGCACCAGTGCTTAGTTCTCGTGGCCCTTTCTGACACACCCAGGGAACTGCTGATCACCACTTTGAGATGAGGAAGCAATTTTTTTCCAGGCCAGTTTGCCCAGGGATCCTGAAGGGGTTTTATTGCCATCTTTTGGGCATGGAGCAGGGGTCACTGGGGGTGTGGAGGGGAAGGTATTTGTGAATTTCCTGCATTGTGTAGGGGGTTGGAGTAGATGACCCTGGAGGTCCCTTCCAACTCTATAATTCCTGCTTTCACTTTTTTTGGATCTAGCTACAAGATAAATTTTCCCCAAGTATGTTCATAGTTTGGTCGGTAGGCATGTTCTGTGTTTCCAAGATGCACGTGGGCACAGTTCAGATTAGAACTGCCAATTGCAGGGACAGGGAATCTAAGTCTTTCCTTATGTGCCATTTTCCCAACTAGAGTAGAACTAAGGAACACCTGTTTTCCCTGTTGAGGAAACTTAATGTGTGCTGATGGGCTACATGTTTAGGTTAAGAAAATGGCTTCTGCTAAGCCCCCTTTCTCCACATTGTGTTGACACAATCTGAATCAGGCCCATGCATGGATGGGAAGCACATAATTCCCAGACCACTCTGTTGACCTGGCCCCACGGGTCATCTCTGGGGAAAATGTATTGTGTTCT